TTTTTTTTTTTTTTTTTTTTGTGATCTCTAGGGACACATAAGGAAATTCATCAAAAGTGGAAACATCTTGTTGAAAGACCTACAAGGAAGTATTTAGGGGTTTATTTCCTCACAATGGTGGTGCCCCTAGAGGAAATGTTCCTGTTAGAGAAATAAAGTCAAATTCTGTACTCTGTTTACAGCTGTGTAATGACTAAGTTCAGAGAACTTGTTTTCTGAATTTCCCCAGCCACAGCCAGGACAGTCTGATCACATGTGCAAGGGAGATATTAGAGAGTAACTTCACTGAAATCAGTGTTCTCTATTCCTGGCCTGACAGGAAATCACCCCATTAGCAATCAGTCAAGTATAAAGCAATTATGTGACCATCTTAACTCCGCATCAGGTTCTTGTGGTGGCAGCACCCTTGATTTGAATCCAAGTCGTGGCACCAAAAACACTGCTGTGGATTGACCCTGTCTGTATGCCAGGCACTCACCAAAGTCTCTCTCTCACTCTCATCTGCAGCTGGACAGGGGAAAGAAAATACAACAAAGGGTTCATGGGTTAAGACAGGGATAGAGAGAGACTACTCATGAAATACTGTCATGAGTGAAACAGGCTTGAATTAGAGATTATTATTTATTACTAAAAAATTCAGAGCAAGATAATGAGACATAAAGTAAGACACCATTAAACACCTTAAAAAAATATCTTACTCCCACCCCTCCCTCCTTCCCAGCTCTACCTCCTTCCCCCCAGCAGTGCATGGGGACAGGGAATGGGGGTTATGGTCAAATCACCACGTGTTGTTTGTCCCACTGCTCAGGAAGGAGACTCCTTCCCCTGCTCCAGTGTGGGGTCCCTCCCACAGGAGACAGCTCTCCATGGACTTCTCCAGTGTGAGTCCATCCCATGGCTAAGTCCTCCAGAAGCTGCTGCTGGAAAAGTGGGTCACTCTTCCATGGGGTGCACTCCTTCAAGGACAGGCTGCTCCGGCCTGGGTCCCCCATGGGATCCATCACAAATCCTCCCAGGAAACCTGATCTGGTGTGGGCTCCTCTCTCCCCAGGTCTGCAGGTCCCTGCCAGGAGCCTGCTCCAGCACAGGCCTCCCACGGGGTCCCAGCTCCTCTCAGGCATCCCCCTGCTCCAGTGTGGTCTCCTCCACAGGCTTTAGGTGGATCTCTGCATCCTGTGATCCTCCATGGGCTGCAGCTGCTTCACCATGGGCTGCACCATGGGCTGCAGGGGAATCTCAGAGGGAATCTCAGCTCCAGCACTGCTGGAGAACCTCCTGTCCCTTCTGCACTGATCTTGGTGTCTGCAGGGTTGTTTCTCTCACAAGTTCTCACTTGGCTCTTCTCTAGCTGCAATTATATCTGCACAACGACTTCTACTTTCCTTAAATCTGTTATCACAGAGATGTTACCACCATTTCTAATCACTGGCCTGATCTTGGCCAGTGGCACTCCCATCTTGGAGCTGGCTGGCTTTGGCTCTGCCAAACATAGAGGAACCTTCCAGGAGCTTCTCACAAGAGCAAGCCCTGTAGCCCCCACTACCAAAAATCTGGCCATGCAAACCCAATACATAACTATTAGTTACCATTAGTTACCACTATAAGTTGACCATTATCGAATTCAGGAATTTATGCATAAGATGACCACCATATCTTGGTCATAGAATACTTGTTATTCTATAGCTTCATTACAAGAGTATCAGAAAGGTACAAGACTACACTATCCACACACATTCATTCTGAGAGCCATAAACTAGCCAAATCTTCTTTATTCCCAGTATCACTAC